ATATTACAATAGTTATACACGTGGTGTTGGTCTTTATAAAATCCAATCGACGTCATCAGTTATCTGTGACACATGTTGGTTCTGTATTGCGTGAGCTTTGCGCACACATATTAGCGCACACTTTGTAGCAGCTTCAAGTCGATATCCTCCCAGTGCTTGATCTGTATGTAACATACGAACTGGACTTAGTAGCAGTCTCGTCGTAGACAACAGTTACTGTCTACGTTTAAACGTCACTGTCAACCTACTGTGCCATTTACTACCATTCGTTTAACTGATAGTGACTGTTGCGTTCGATAACCCTCTAGTAAATGAAGGCCTTGGTACAAAAGCTTCTCGGTGGTCTAGCATTTACCATGGAAGAAAGAAAATACTTTACGTTGCATTGAGAGTTGAGCACAGATGCGGATTAATAATTAAACATATTGTTTTAAACTGAGCTACTATTTTTAGATATATTGAATTTTAGCTTTTTTATGTTCATCTATCTGTAGAAATTTATTCTTCTAAATCTTTAGAAGGTTAAATTCATTTCGGATAAGTGGAAATGAAATAATGTGCCCCAGAATATAATCTTTCCTAAATAACCTAGATTGGAATTTAAATCAGGTCCTATTCTGGAGTCCTAAACATGGCCTACTTCATTTTTGAGATACTTTGCCTGATGTGGTACTTATTGAAGAAGGATTCAAGACCAGAACTATTCAGCAATTATTATTTGGTGATTATTTATGTCATTGATAGCTTTATGATGATTATAAAGTAGCTAGAGGAAGTCAATTCAGGTCTAGAAGATACTAGGGTAGCTGGAGATTGATCAGACCTAGATGTAGCTATACTTCATTGCTGGTTGGGAATATAATATTGTATTGATACAATTCTGATGGAACTTAAATGTTCATCATGATTTATCACTTGATCTATGCAAAGAACATCTTGGATCATGAATTCAATTATTGAATTATTTGCTACTACTGGTTTCTTCCAATGCAAAGCAGTACATATGTATTTAAAGAATGCTCCAGTATTCAAAATTCCTCGACTCTTTGTTCGTTCGTTGAAGGAATTCGTAAAAATATTCAATTAATTCTCGATAAAGTGCACTTGACTGAATTCCTTCTCTTCTTTTTCTGCACAGAATTATTCTTATTTTCAATAAAATATGAGCTTTACTACTTGTCTGATTGTTATGTAAATGCATTGAGAACAAAATTCGAATGATAGGAAGTCTTATAACTTCAATTAAACTTTAGCATTTCATCATTTCACTTTGATAAAAAAGTGATAAACCAAGGCCTTTTTTTTCATAATACGATAAAAATAAAAATAAACAAGAGTATATTATTCAATAGGATTCTTCTAGTTTGACATAGTTCTTAACAAGTTCAACAGGCAAAATCGATTGTAGTGGCTTCTTAGAACTTAAATACTGAAAAATTTGTTTTTCGTTGGATGTACTTTAAAAAGTTTTAAATGGGCAAAGTTAAGGAAAATTAATAAATTTTCCAGTGAATAAAAATTTAGATGAATCTCATGTGGAATCTTTGTCATTGATAAATCATGTGTTTGGAAGGAAATTAAAAGTGTGAAATTTACACACTTGAATTAATATGGAATTTTCATTTAATGATGATTAAATTAATCAATGAACTCAATTATTTTTATTGACTTATTAAAGATTATGCAATTATTTTATCATATAATTAATGATAATAAATTAATGAAAATACAATCAATATTTGAAAGCAATATTGATTAATAAAATATAATAAGAAGCATATCTTAAAATAAATTGAATGATTAATAATAAATTTTTTAATCTAATTTTTGATTTTACATTTTGTCACATGACGTGACAATATTTTAGTAAATGAAAAAAAAAAAATTTATTAAGACAAAAACGTTGTAGCTTTTTTTTCTTTGAAATTCAATATTCAAACGTGGACGATTCAATATTTAAAGGTCTCGAGCTTTACACGATGTATAAATACTCCTGGCAGTTATTTCTCATTGCATGACTGATTGGTATACCAATGGGTCAAAGTCAAGCCTGCACAGTATCCGCATAGAAGTGGTAATTCCGGGTGTAGATACCGGATTGGCTGCAGTCTGGAGATAACGTCATTATCGAGCTTGCTACTGACATCCTCTGCAGACAAACTTATACATCATCGTGATATGGACACTTGGATCATAAAATTCCAAAAAACTCATCATAAATGAAAATTAAATTGTTGAAAAAAGTAACTTATTATCAACAAATAGTACATTGTACAACCAGAGAGCAAAGTATCAAGATTTTAAATAACTGTAATATAAATATCCTGATCAAAATAATATAATATTATAATTGCTCATATTCCAGAGATAAAAAAAATTTCATCATCGAAATATTAAGCATATTCACATCTGCAATAATAACTAATTATTTCAATGAATGAATATTAAATATTTGAATATCTAGGAATTTAAATTGATAAAAGTTCATAACTCCAATGTGAGTTATTACAATTATTCTCCATTATGAAGAATCGAATTTGTTCGACTATATAGCAAAAAAAAAAAACTACATAATTTTGTAGTTAATCCAAAACTAAATCAAAGTTCCAATGAAAATTAACTTACCAGCTCAATTAAGCTTTCACAATGGAAAAAACTTTATCCTAATTACTTTTCTTCCAACTATTCATCCACTTATGAACCTATTTTTTCTTTTATTCTCAGCAATAAATATCAAGTTATCAACATTTTTTGATTGTTGATTTTTAAATTGAACATTCTGATCATGGTATTCCTCTGCTAATCACTAAACCAAAGAATTTAATAAATTTAATATTGATGATATTCAAGAATTAAAAGTTTTCTTCAAACTAAAAATAACTGGAATAATTCTGAAAAACATTAAACAAAGAAGATAAGTTTAACAACAATAAAGAGAGAAAAAAATTTATTTATTCCTAAAAACTTTTTATATCTTGAACAGTTTTATCGATTTGTATATTAAATGGTGAAGAGCTTGCTTTTTTCCAACTATCGAAGTTGATATTTCTAGTTTTTCATTTCATTCTTTCTCATTCTCTTATATATTCTTCGTTTTCCCGATATTTCACCATACATTCGAATATTTAGTTCACCAATACCTGTAGATGAAACTGATCTGACATTTGAAACTGTCACTTTGTTCTCTTTTAGATTATTTTCATGTCCATCAGAATCTAATGTCCAGGAGATTAACAATCCCCTTATATACTTCTTTTATTTTTAGCATTCCAAAAGTAATTGCTGCATTTAGAAATGCTTTAAAAATAAAAAATTCGTGAGAAACTAAAATACTGAGTAATAAGGAAATGTGTGTTTTCAAAACAATCATCAATGACATGTCATGAAGAACTTGGAGATCTAGAAAGATGATGAGGTGTTAGACTATTGTGCCATGATAGTTGGATTTATGTATTTTTCTATTGTTACATAAAAGAAGTAAATAACTTGGCAAAATAACTAAAATAAATTTATTTGTCTACTATCTCTTGTCAACACTATCCTTTGTCATGGTTTTATTTGCTATTCCTGCTGACCTACTTTTTGATTTAACTAAACAATCAAAGTGCTATTCTCAAGATTTAGTTAATATTTAAACAGGAGCAAGGTAACAACTTTCAACAAAACATATGATTTTTTTAAATAGGCAATTAATTATTTTAATTGAAATTAGTTGGAACACTCTTTTAGCATTTTGAAGCTTTCATATCCAGACACCTTTAAGGTTGTCAGTCAATCAGAGCTGTTTCAATACTATTTAATTATAGAGCCACGATAAAAATTGGAGAAATTTATACTTTTGTTATTTAACTTACTTAGAAATGAATGAATAAATTGGTGTTTAGTTATTTGCTGATATTGATTGTAAATAAAATCAGAAAAGATACTTATGATGATTTTAATTGACAAAACTATGGACACTAGTCATATCAATATTGACTTATCTGTTTTAATTATTAAAGAATTCAAATATTATTTAACAAATACTCCATAGTAAAATAAAATAAAATTTTTTTAACTAAATCTCACTTTAAAAAAATTCACTGCAAATAAAATTCAATGAATATCATGAATATGATGAATATTAATTCTCCACAAACGTCAATTTTGTCATTTTTTATTCCAAATTCAAAAACACCAATTGAATGTTTATTTTAGTACGTTCAAATATAAGATTTATTTAAAATAAATAATGTTCAATGTATATAAATGAATTGCTTTTGAAAGCAGTAATTTATCACTTAAAAAAATATTGACACAGTTTTGACTATTTGACTAAAAGTTTAAAGTATTTTATAAAAAATTGCAATATCATTTTTTTTTTTTTTTTATGTTAATCCATTTGATTTAAATGATTTATTAAATTGTTTACTTTATTCATTGTTGTGAATAATCCATAAATGTGACTATATAAAAATAGTAAGGTATTCCTTTGTGAAGTTATGATAAAAAGTAAGTGACAAAACTTCATATTTTGAAGTGCATTCGTGCATACTGAGTATAGTTTTCCTTTAAATTTCCATCTTTTTAAGTTTAAAGATATTTTAGTGCCATACTTTTCTTGTGAACTTTTTCTTTTCATATGCAGAAAAATATACACACATCTGTAGATATTTGTACTTGTTATAAATATATAATATTACACAATATTATTGAGCAAATGCTACACAAAAGAAGTATAGTATACTTGTACAATAGTTTACTATGATTGATTGCTTTGAAGAGATGTTGAGACTCACCTTTGACATATTATATCTACAAGTCTTGAGGGCTAATTTTCATATAAATAATTCCATAATGTACATGTTTAGTATATGTAAATATCTCTAGGCTGCTTCCGATATTTTATACTACAATAAACATTACTGTTGATCTAACATTTTTTATTTATTCAGCAAAATGTTAATATATTGACCCCATAGTATAAACATCAATTGACAATATTTTTTATTCTCTTCCAGCTCCTTTGAAGCAAAGCAAGGAAAAATGATTTCATATCACTAGCTGTTTATTAATCACCAATACCAAGTCTGTTACTAAAGGTGAGTCTTGATCTAGATGAATTATTTTATCATAATTTATAGTCAGGTGACTCTTTCAGGTATGGAAGATCTAGTCCAGTATACCTGGGTCAGAAGCTTACACATACGTGATGAGCATGTCCAAGTGGCAGTTCAACATTCAGACAGGCAGCTGGAGATAGTCTTCTGTCTATCAGATTTTTCACAACCTTTTGAGATGGAATTAAAAGGATCAGTCGATCAATAATCTAGACAGTCCAGTGATAGACTTCAGGTAAGGATTTTAAGGCATTATTATGACGAGAGAGTTTGATATTTTCAATTAAAGTTTATCAAGTAGATCCTATCTTCTTGATGCAGTAACACAATATTACATCAAGTCCCAAGTTGGACCTAGATTTTTTTTTTACTTGCACTTATGGGAATATTTACAGAACATATGATATGTTGCTCTTGGGAGTATAAAACTGTCAAGCTCTCTCACTTGCTCTGATGAAAGCATTGGGAGTCAATATGGATCTCCATCTCCAAGTATATTTGACTCTGCTTTATAATAAAAGACTGTCCTTTTTATTTTGGTAGTTGATTTTACCCTAGTGTGCTAGGTAATTTTTTTAACGACTGAAAGAGATGTCTCAAGTTGATTCTAGGGTACCAGATAATTTTCTCACTTTCTTTCTTTCCTTGTAAATATCAACTATTCTTTGAAAATCTAATTATGCTTAACAATTTATACCATTTGATAGAGATTGTTAGGTTCAATAATTTAATTAATATCATGAAATAAATAAAACTTATTGCCTGATGTATGTAATATTTTTGTCCAATTGTCATCAGTTTTTATTAACTGACAATCCAAATGAACTCTGTTGTCTACTGTGTTTCTCTTGATTTTATCACTGATTCATCACCATGTGTTACTACGCAGATAATTACTGGGCAATTATTCGAAAAGTAAATATGATTAATTTAAAGAATAAATGAGTGTAAAAAGCATCAAGTTCACGATAAATAAATAACTTCAATTTTGTATTGTTTGGTATAAATAATTCAAATCTCTCTCTATAAACTATTCAACAACACTAGAATGCTTTTTCTCTGTAAAATGTATCGATCGTTTTTGCATTAATTTATTTATGCTAAAAAAATATACCAATAGTGAAAGAGAAATATTTATGATATGTCTATAAATCATAAGAATATTTTTTCCTTTTTCTTTAATAAATTATACTTAAATTATAAACAAAAGAAAAGACAAATTGATGAATTTTTAATATAAAAAAAATCAAATAAAAATGATGCTTATCTATCTAGCTACCCAGTGAAACTCTATAACACCCCCTCTTTCTGTGTCAGGAGTTAAAAATAGAGAAAGATAAAAAGCTTAGTTGTTCTTTTCAAATTGTTAACATGAACAAAGATAGGAATGATTTCAAAATATATCTGATGGTGTTGGTAAGTAGTTAGTAACTTAGATTAGCTGGAACTAAAATGGAAAAAGCTTTAAACATAGACATGTTTAGAATACCTAATTATCAGCACACGTCTTATCTCTTCTTCACTGTGGATTAATCGTGAATTTTATATTCAAGATAGTGATGATTGTATCCTTGCCATTCCCCTTCAATTCATTTGAATAATTGTATTAAAAAACTTTAGCTATTTTTTTATTCATAAAAGACAGAAAAGTTTTGATAAAAATTCTCTGCTTTCTTTTTTGAAGTGATCATCTCTCTCTCATGCATTCAAAGGAATTTTTAGAAATTTTTTTTGTAATTCAAAGACCGAAAATAATATATTTAAAATGAATGGAGTTTCTTTTCTGATCAAATGTAATGGGGAGAATCGATAACTTGAAAATCTATTAACAGCTTTCATTGACTTCTCCATCAATCATTTAGGGAAATTTTTGATCAATAAAATTTTGTCATTACTGTCTTCAATAATTTTTAACAGTCACATTTTGTTATTAAATTAATTAACACTAGCATTTTATTATTTAGCACAACATAAATTAGTATGAATTATTTATAAATATTTATTTATTAATATTTAATAAATATTTATATTATTTATTTATTATGTATTAATATTTATTTATTAATATTGAGTTGAAAAGGAATATCTGGAGGAAAATTATATAAAAATTAGGTTTTATGATAATGATAATATTTTTATGAATAAACACAAAAATTCTATTCATGTAACCCAAGTCTGAATAAATGTCTTTAAATTTCATTTCCACTCACAGAAAATAAAAATATGGAAGAAATTTAAGATGTGGCTAACGTTGCAGCTTTTTAAAGTCAATGCATTTATTTTAATAATATCTAGTCGTTAAAAATTCATTATAACAATTATTTTGCAACTTCTTTTTACTCTACTATTTTTTTTAGTATCCTCTAAAATTAATTCAACTAAAGTACCTAGTAAAATATATCACATATTGTCAGTTTTAAATAATTATTACTTTATTAAATAAATTAATTAATAATTTTCAATTAATAATAATTTATTTTAATAAAATGGAATTCTTTAATTAATTATCATCATCAACATTTCTTCTTGATGAGAATAAAAATGATAATTTTTTATTAAAGTTTCCAATGTTTCTGACTCGTCCATCAGGCTATTAACCCTAGCACGAAGAGTCTCATTGGTGTATCAAGTTAGCATGTTTTGAAGCTGTACAAACATGGCAAACAATCATGTACTTAAGATTAGCAATCACTCAAGGTTTCTTTTCTACTTGATTCCTGAACTTCTACTCAACTTGGTGAATTTCAATTAATTATTTCTTCTATCAAAAGCAATGGAATGTGTGTTGTGAATATTAAATTATCATCCAAATTTCTACATTCAGCATCGGTCAGTTAAAATCAGTCAATAAAATAACTTCTGTAATTCAATAAGCCATCAGACTGAAATTAGATTTACAATTAACCAGTTGAGTCAACCACAATAGACTTTTCTTTCTCTCTCTTAATACACACAATCATAAGAATTTTTATACATTGAGTTGAAATGAAGTTCTTTTACTATACATAAGCTGCGTGATGGAGCAGCTCTAGCATATGATTCAGAAGAATAAGAGAATCCTCGAAGATGAAAAGAACGAATGAATGAAAGTAAAAGAGAATAAAACAATAACAAAGCTCTTTGAAAGATTAAAACACGACTAATCTTAAATCGTAACGAAAACCATGTTGAAGCTCAAAAATACTGGTGCTTCATCTCCAACCCACTCATGCCTTATGACTCTCACTGATTTCTCGCTTTCTCTCTTCCGCGAGGTGAAAAGGTCAAGGTGCAACTAAACTCTTATCTTTTTCTCTAGATACTTATCGATTCCCCCACTCTTTGGACGTCGCATATTCCCTCTGCTGCACTCTTATCCGCATGAAAGATCAGGATGATGACTGAGGTTTGATGTCAAATGACAATATTCATGTTCATCAAGGGAGAAAAATTAACCAGTGAGTGTTTAAATAATTTACACTTCTTTACCTCAGTTTGATCCAGTTGTCAGTTAGCACATTGTTTTTAATTTTTAATTATCAAATCTATTATTGCATATTAATTGGAAATAAAAATATATAATCATGGTATGAGCATGAAAAAATATTGAACTTGGTTGTCAGTATTGATAAATTATTTTTACTTAATTATTTAAATAAAAAGTATGCATATTAATTAAACTTACATCCGGCGTCTGGTCTTTGGTTGACCTTCTCCACTTGCAAGTTGGCTAAGTCGATTCACCGATGCCGCGCGTGGTGACACCAATGTTTACACATCATTTTCACATAGTGTTATTATTCCGGAGTTTTGTTACAATTTTGTTGACAAGCACAAACGTATGGGCAAGAGAATAGGAGAGAAAGAAAAAAAAAACATAAATCGTCTAATCTCTTTTATTTCGCGTGCACGAAGCTTGGACAGGGTTTCACTAAATCCTTGCTCACATCACAAGCAAGACTGACTGAAGACCAGGAGAGCACCAAAGCCTCAGCGCCACCGCCGAGTGGTGTCGCACCACTCGAACTACACCCTCGTGCGCGTTGGAATATATAACATATCTGATAAAAAGAGAGAAAAACAAGTGAAGTAAAGTAGGGAAGAGAGGAATTTCTTTTTTTTTTAATTATCTTTAAAAACTTTTCGACTTCTTGAATTGAGACTTTAGAAAGATAACCTAATCTTGTGCTTATTTTTACTAAAATTCAATCAATTGAATATGTGAAATGAAAAATGTGGTTTTTTGTCCTGTTTTCGAATTCATCAGTCATGATCTCTATTTCTTACACTAGGGGTTGGGGTAAAGCTGGAGTCATTGACGTTGCAGCTAATTCATGACCTCTTTTGAAAGCGGTGGTACAGATAGACTGGATGATAAACTTTGATGTACTAAACATTACTGGGCTATCAAACTGAATCTTTTATTTTAGTCAAGAATCAATTGATCGGTAGGTGGTTTTTATTAATTTTCCTATGTTATTTACTCGACGTTTTTATTTTTAAAAATGGTTAATTGTATTTATCATGATTTCATGTCGATTTGGTTGAGTTTAATTGGAAAATTGATATATTTTTTTTTCCAAATGATTTTACTGGAGTAAATTATCAAAAATATTTTATAATTGAATATTATTTACCATTTATTTAATTGTTTATACGTTTATGGAATCCAATTATTAACTTTTTAATAATAATTGTTATTTAGATGCACAGTTTTTTCCAAGATTGGTTGTTTTATAAATTGACCATGTTTATTATTTAAATATTGATTATAATTAATAATAAAATACTCCAGAATTATTATTATTATTAAAAATACTTCTTCAATAGTCATTGCTGTTTGTGCTACTCAAACTAGTTGAAATATTTATCAACAAAGTTACATGCAAGTCCATGAACTTTTACTTAATATTCTGATTATTGATATTCAAGATGTCTACCTTTTTATTTAAAAGAAAAAATTTTTTTTTATAATCACCACATTTCATACTTCATTTTTGATTTCTTTTAATCCCCCAGTTAGAATATCTGGTCAATAACCTATAAAATACACTTCAATGTTGGCTCCAAAAAATCCACAAAACCATGAAAAATGCAACAACTACCAATGCTATCAATGTCATCAATTATTTAAATAAATGAACTAAAAAACAAAAAAAATGAAACCAGCAAGTAGGAATAGAAGAAAGGATTTCCTGATCCACAACAATTATTCATCAATTCCTTTCCATTACAAATGATTCTCTGGAATGTGGATGATCTAAAAATAGAATAGCATTATCATCTTTTTTTTCATCAGCACCTCTAATCTTTTACATTGAACGAACCCTTTTTTTTCAATTTCACCCTGCCAGTCTTTCTAACGTTGCATCCGACATGAGGATGGTAATCCAACCACCTGTAACGCCTGTAGAGACATCGGCCTCGTCCTAGTTCTTACATTTTTTCACTCACAGCTTGCTGATCTCTAATGATTATCAACACTATAAAAAAATTTTCTTTTAAACGTGATATTATTATACTTCTACTTTTTTTTTTATCTTCTATTTCATTTTCAAACTTGAACTGACACATTTTCAATATATCTTGACTTATAAAAAGCATTCTTGAATCAAATAGCACCATGCATTTACCAGAAGTCTTATTGTTAAGATATACATTCATTTCAATATAAATAGTTTGAAGAGGTGTATTTGCCATTTTCAGCAGAAAAAATATATATGCGTTGAATTTAAATAGCTATGATGAAGAAAAAGTCAATAAAAATGATGATACTCACTTTGAAGTACGTCAATTGCAAAAATATATTATTCAAGTGATTTCTCATTCTACATGTAGAAGCCTTATTGTCAAAAAGAAAAAAAAATGAGTGTACATGCTATTCATAATTCAAGATTAGAAGCCCTGGGTCTATAATATCGGGTTTGAATAGTCCGACTGAGTCCCTTTGTCAAGGGAGAATATTACAAACTTAGTAACGTTTGATAAAAGCTCTAACAACAATCTGAAAGCTAGAGCTTCTATGGTATCTCCAGATAAAAAGCTTTCCCTTCTTATCAACACACATTATGATAACATCTAATAATCATCATGAATGGAGATGTTTTTTTTTTATTGTTCAATCATCGGAGAGTCTTTGAACAATATTTCCTGCTAATAATTATTAATTTTGATTAAAAATTAACTGGAATTTAAAAGAAGCTTTGCTCTTAAGCTCGATCAATAATACAGTCAGCTATCAACTGATTAATCAATAATCCATCCTAAAAGTGGGTTGAAGAGTTTGGTAGCCGAAAATGATTCAGGAATTTTACCAGAAGTGGTTGTTGAGGTAAAAGTGAAGATAATTCCTATCACATTCTAAGGGAAGGCTAAAATCATCAACGAGCAGGTGAATGACCGATTGATAGGAGTAACCAAAGTTCAACAACCCCAGAGGGACAAAGAATGACCTAAAGCCTTACAAGTTGTGGAACAATACGAACAAGTTGACACTAAAACAATAAAGGAAATAATTTAATTTTCTATTCTTCAGTAACCTTCAATTATTAATGTTTGTGTTGAATACATAATATGGTTATTTATTTGTTCATGATAGATTGTTACCTTTTAATATTAGTAAATTACAGGGACGGTTTGTTTTCTTCAATTACTGCAATCGATTGTTAATTATTAGTTGGAATGGAAAAAATGGAGATATTTTTGTTGATGTTAAATAACCTTTACAAATAATCTTAGGTTATGTACTATGACAAATTGGAAATTCGTTGATATTCAAAGTCATTCAAGATAGTTCATAAACACTAATCATTCTATCAACAACATGACAACAATTTTCGAAAAAAATAGAAATTATTTTACAAATTATATATCATTCCAGTCACACCAGGTGATACAAATAAATTACCACCTAATCTGAAAGATGTCATAAATTTCTACACTTATGAAACTCTTAGTTATATAAATTCTATTGTCTTCTAGGTCTTCTGACATCGTCTTCACGACTATTCTCTAAAAAATAACTCACTTACCTGCAAAATCCAGCTTCTATTTATCTTATGTCACTGTTTTTTAAATTACATGCTAGCAAATCAACCTCCTGGTTTATTAAATTTATGAATAGATCAACATTGAAAAATTCTTTGACAAACAAGCTGAATCTTTCCTATTATTATTATTGTTTTTTTTTATTAATAATAATATAGTCCTAACCAAAGAAAATTAAACTAATCTTTACCCCAACTTTTATAAAACTATTATCTAATAATAAAAAAAATTGGGTGAATGACCTTAGCTGAAGCATCAGGTGGTAGTTTGTTACATGAGAGTTATTCACGTCATCAGAAATAATACTTCTTGAGGGTGAATAAGTTTTTCTCGTCAATCAGAAAAAGTTGGAAAGTTATTTAAGTATTTGGGTATGATAAATATGTTTATGTATCAATAATATTTTTCTGACACATTGATGCTCTATTTATTATGCTTGTTCATTCATGCTAATCGATAATTCATCAACCTTTTGATTGAAACTTTCTTGTGTTATTGTATTAGATAAACGATTTAATGAATCTTAGAGCTTTCATGATATTATTGGATGAAAAGATAAATACAGTTGAGTTGACTGGTTAAATTTATTTAAGACCTCTTGCAATGTGATCTGGATGAGCAAATACTTTTTTTCAAGTCAGTTGATGGTAGCATGGTAATTTTTATCATTAATACAATTCTTTTTTATTCCCATTGAAGAAACATTCTTGAAGTTTTTTTATGAATACAAACTTCTTTGCGTAGGAATGAATTTTATCTTCAGAAAATAAATTAAATAATAAAAATAAGTTTCAATTTCAAGTCTCTACTATTTCATTAGGAATAATCTTATTTATATTGGATCTTTGCTTAAATAATCTGATACAAACCAATTAATTTTAACACAATATTAATGAGTAATAATGGAGTTTTTAATTTTTTTTTCAAGGTTCAATTAGGATACCAAGTATGATATTATCATCACAACTGGGCCATCACTGTACTTGACAACTAACCTTGGTGCCCAGTCGTGGGAAATGACTGAATAGCAACATCATGTTCAGAATATCTTGTATACAAAGACCAGAAGAAGATGCCTGCTAGTCACCATAGGAGTCCAAAACGTTCAAATAGCACCAAAGGTATTGGGAAACTAGGAACTGAAGATATCGTCTAGCACGTATCGATTGACTTCTACCATACAAGAGTCACCAGGCAAACTTTATTCACAAGTGTCAAGTGCTAATACCAAGTATGAAACTAAAAGTGCCACTTAGTTTAAAGTGAAAGTGAGCATGTGATTAAGTTTAGAAGTGTCTGTGTAAAATTAATTCAAAATGAAAGTGCTGGTGATAGTGTCGACAAGGTTAGTCTTGGTGTTTCCAGGGATCCTGAAATATGTGATGAGGGTTATGACAACTCTGAATAGCCTAATTAGATCTACGAAAGATGGGCCGAATGTGAGTATATTTATCTTCTATTTAGTTCTAGATCCTCTATTTAGTTATAAATTTAATTTAACTTTGGGTACTCTTGATCCTATCGATTCAAAATCATTGGAATGTAAAATTATAAGTTGTCTGATCATGATATTTGAGTTTCTGGAGTGAGTCAATAGAAAACAATACTTACCACAAATCGATTGCTATTTGTACATGTAAAGAGAAATAGCCTGTTGTGCAACAAGTGGAACAAGTGACCAATTGTTATATTATTGCAGCTCGAATACAAACTCTCCCTATAGTTTAGTTATAGTTCAACCTAAGAATCACACAAGTTTTCATGTAAAAGCGCTATAAGACTTCAGTGAGGAGTATAATGTTTCGTTTCATGTTTCACATACCAGGCATGGTTTTAGAACCCACTTAGGTGGTATAGGTTTACCGATCATCTAAGTCTTTTAACCCAAGTCCAAATGACTCAGATAACATTCTTTTCATGAGACATAACTACTTGATGTTTATTTAAATTTTTTATAAAATCATCTTGTGGCCATTTTCTTCTGGTGCAGGTGTCAGCATATTAATATTATATCTATTCTTGTTGAGAAAGGATACTTGAAATAATTCAACAGACAGTGTATTTAAATTCCAAGATCTGAATTTATTCCATTTGAATTGAACTCTGGGAAGGTGATTCTCTCGTGTGGTTTTTGTTTGTTTATATCAACCTCGACCTAAATGTCAATCCAATTAGTTTTTTGATGATCTGTCTTTCATAATATGCTTTGATTTATTTATCCATCGATTTTAAAACAATATGGTTTGTTGATAAATTTTGTAATATTAAAAATAAATATTCCAACAATTTCATCCTAACTCAAAGGTTCAATTATTGTGGCTCGGATTCTAACAAAGCTTTAGAGAACGAAAGTTCCTAGGAATTAATACCAAAATTCTATACCAGTGCAATAATTCTTTTATTGGATAAAGTGAAATGAAAAGAACAAATATTTCACATGAATGGAAAGTAATCGGAGTATAGTAAAATCATAAGAGGAATAAAGAACTCTTGAACCACACTTCATATTAGTATTAATGAAAGATAAAAAAAAATGGATCTAGATGCACTTTGAAGTGTCCACACAAATATTTTGGTCAAACATCGCTTCAATTTTAAATTGGCTCCATTACAACAACTTTCCAATAAGAAGTTAATAACTCAACAGATCTTCTACTCCTTTATTTCAAGTATTTTCGCGGCGCATATTACCGTTTACAATTCGCTTGCCACCACCATGCGCTTTGCTCAGATACCCACGCACCCCCATCGACGCTGTGTGGTGGTCGTTGTTGAGCCTCTGAGGATCAGTCGTCAGGCCGCGTTTCACTTCGAATAGTCGCCTGTAAACTTATCTCATTTCAATATAACCATCCATATGTCACGTTATTTTTTTCAAACAAACAGTAGTTAAAATAAAATAATTCCATTGATTATCTTGAGATTCAGGTATTATCTTCAAACTTAAATCTTCTAGTTTCGTGACCAGGAATAAACGAATAAATTTATTGATGTTTGAATTTTATGACGCGCTTGATAAAACGCTACTCGTTGATAAGTGTATCTATTTACATTTACAAAACTTTTTACTGTTTAAAAAAGTCAAGTACTCATTAAAGAAATTTATTTTTGTTTTTTTAACGTGAAAAATAGTTACATCAATTAATCTGGAGTAAGAAGTAAGTTGTCATTTTTACTACTATCTAGACATAATAAAAAAAAAATCATATTAGACTTTAACAATAATTTATTATATTTTTTTGTCCATAAAGTTGCTCTTGTCTTACTTTACGAGTCATTTGTAACTGTAATTCACGCTCTTGTTCTTTTCAATATCACTCACATGCTGGTGAGATGAGAAAATATTTCCCCAAAAAAAAAAAACTGTCTGATACATTGAACCAAGTAATCCTAGTATTAGCAGACGATGAAGAAAACGTGTAAAAACTGATGTTTATCACTAAACCTCGAGATCAAGGTGATTCTAGCATATATTGTTAAATCGAGAATATCGATTAAAGCTTATCAGTGCACTTGACAAGGTGATGATCGATAAGCATGAAATGAAGCTCTGGAAAGCATTATTTAAAACTTCCACCATCATTTAACCACTTGATTAACTACTAGAAAATATTCAATAATAATTTCATATTTTTTGCTGTCTAGCTGTCTGATATTTAAATAAATTCATCACAATCTCGGTTATTTTTATGTCTATGTTGCTAAAGAAGTTCGATAGAAGGATAGGATTTATATTTATAGATTATTGATGGAAAAAAAGCAAGAGTAATGTATGCTGTCCATCATCATCATCATCATCATACCTAAGACTTGGACAATAGAAGATTGAATTACTTCTCTACTAAAGAGCTCAGTTTTCTAGATTCTGGTTTCCCTGTTTATTTATATATACTACTTTCATTATTGCTATTCCAATACCTGTGCAAAATTCATCCAAGGAAAAAACTTGAAAAAGGAATTATTAAAGAAATGTAAACAAGTTGTGTGTTCTATTTGACCTTGGGGAGATGAGCTTAAAGTTTTTTCTTGATGTATTTTTCAAAGTTTTTTTCTTCAAAGTATTCCTATTGTTTAAACTATTTTTAGAACTTTTCTTCTAACATTTATAGCTCTTTAAGCTCTTTTTGAATGTTCGTAATGACTTTTTTTGCATATCTTGCAAATGGATTGAATTCGAAACCTCTTTTTCAATATGTCTCATTGTAATTTGAACTTTAGTTGGATTGGAATAAAATCAGGCAAACAGATTTCTAGTAAATAATGAGAACGAGGTTTTTGAAGTGAAAATCACTAGTTCTGATAGAGGTGATGGTGAGTTAATTAAACAAATTGGTATCTAACAATTCAAAGTCTACTTTGATTTTAGAAATCTTGAATAATAATTTCACATGAGAATAAAGTTGTTCATTTATTATACTGATTGTAAGTAAAAACTTTGAATATGTACAAAGATAATATTCCAGATGGATTACATGCAAATGCAATTGTCGTATTCAAATATGTAATATTTTCTAGCATTTTTACAACATATTGGGTTGGCAAAGAAATAGTGAAACACTTTTATAATTTAAATATTCTAGAATACAGAGTATCATGATGCTACCACTATATCTCTGCCCTCAAGGCAGATACAAGTCATTGATGGACATGGTGACTGCATTGGAGATTGAAATTTGCAGACTATTAAATAAATAATAAAATTAAAAGCTGTTCTAAGTGCTCTACTATTTTCTTGTCAACCCAATATTTAACATTTTAATAAAAATAATTTTATATACCTATTTTAAAAAATTCTTTAAAATATAATAACCTATTGTGTCTTCTAATCAATTATCAACTATTTCTTACATTAAATCTAAGTAATGTAAAAAATCTTGATGTCTTTAAAAATTAGCAATGCAGTAGAAATTATATTACATTATGAACTCTTATGCTACAAATAATAAACTTAGATCTTTAAAGCTAATTTTCTACTCTTTTTGAAAATAATATCAAATTTTTTTTTAATTAAAATATAATACTATTTTAGTTAATTAACAATTAACAAGCCACAAGACTCACTTCTACTATTTAATGATAGAAAAATATTTTTTAAAAATATTATGTTCTGTGCTGATGAACAGAGTTGAAGCAAAAAATAAAAATTAATTTTTTTTAATGATGTCATAGTAATTTTATCACCAATTAATTTTGATACATTGATTCAGAGGAAACAATAAAATTATAACAATAATATAAAATGGTTGATAACATTGAATGTTCAATTTTTGAATTCTTTTGATGTACAATGTTGTTATTTTTATGTTATGATGATTGCATACATTCCAATTTTATCTTTATTAGATAACTACAATGGAATTATTAAAGATTACTAGTTGTAGTTTCATAAAAACCTTGTGAAATGATATGTTATTACAGTCAAAACTTGTTCTAAAGAATAAATAACAAGAAAAGTTTGTAAATCAGGGAAGTTGAATAGCTGAATTTTAAGCACATCAAATAAACAAGACTTTCGTAACGAGAGTTGATATGACGGTTTTCTTTTGCTATGATAATTGTGTTTTGAATAGTATTATACATATTTCTAAATACTTTCAAACAAAATAATTATTTTTAATAATTTAATATCATTATAAACAATATTAATAGCTAATTTATCTTGTTAAAATAATTGGTGAAATTAGTAATTAAAAATCCCACTGAGTTTTACTTTAAAAAATGTTTCTTAATACTTTAACGTCTTGATGGTATTGGATTTTATCGTGTGACCAAGGTGGACGTCTTAATCCTAGGGTTATAATAAAGTGCACTGGTTGCACTTTGAGCTTAGCCACACTAAGTCCATTAGACTCTGGATGAAATAAAACCCTAAAGTACTTCCCTAGAAAATTGATTACTTGATTAAATCAACTCATTAATTTTATTGATAGCTGAACATTGCTTTACTTTACAAGTTATTTAGAGCTGACTCAAATTCGTACCTTTCACAAATAATATTAAACTAAACTAATTCATTAACCAACCTCTACATGTTGATGTTGGGAAAAGAGAATGACTTGATTATTCATAAGTTGTTGAATCAAATAGCTTTTTCAGACAAAAACAAAATGCTAATTCACTCTTTAAAAATAACATGGAAAAAAGTTCTACCGAAGAGTAAATAGTTACTGATTTTCACTACTTCATTTGAACAGAGTATTATCTTGGAGTTGTAGCAAATAAAACTTGCTATATAAAAGTTGTAAAGTTCAAAAGATCAAGTTGATGAATTTATGCTAATCCATGTCTGATATTTATCATAAAATTCTATTTATGGTTGATAAAATGCATACACGTGTAGATGTTTATCTCAGTCAAGTCAAAAAAAATGATGAAGCTTTTATAAATGAAGATTCAAGGTTGCATAAATCATCAGCAGGCTATTTATTAACTCTTGAGT